AAACACTGTAATAGGGAGAATGAGAAAACTTTCTGGACTTCTCCTAGTAGCTCATAATTATTTGGAAAAAACAAATCCCTGTTCAGAAAAAGGATCATGCAAAGACCGAAGTAACAGACACCTTCTTCTCAGGAGTTCTCGAGCAGCCTACATGTGTGAACAGTCCCTCTGCCCTTCGGTTCATGAATTACCCATTTACCAAGGTCCACTAAAACCCGAGTCAAACAGTTACCTTGAAGACCTTTAGGAAGTTCCATGGATTTTATGATCTGCTCACTGACATCTGATGCACTTAAGCCTTGAAGCCTCTTCTCCCAGAAAAGCTGAAAGATCGAAAAGTCTGGTGAATGGATATAGTAAATATATACATTACTATGCTCACACACACATAGACACGTGCATATCCAATTCAGTGGCTTGGAAAAAAACAGGGTTTGATTTGGACTGATTTAGAGGCCACCTGATTAGATTCGGGCCCAAAGCCAAACCTTGCTTTATAAATTTCTTCCTTCCAATGGTTCCCCGCTGGAAAACCAGACATGCTAATCACTTTTTGGGGTCTGTTTTCTTAACAGCACCGGATGCCTGTTGCAGTTGCTTTTCACGAGGAGCTAAAACTCACCAAATTTCAGAACAGTAGCAGCATTGGGGTTACACAAGAATAAAGGGGTTTTTTTTTTATGTGGGAATTTCCACAGAGGGATTCATTTAGCTCCTCTCACAGAGTTTCTTTTGGTTCAGTGATGTGAAAACATACCGAGGAAGGGCCCTTAGGGGAGAAACTGCAACATTTCAGAGCGAGAAGTTAGGGCGACATCTGAGGCGCCTTTAGAGTGGATGAAGGTGGGGAAGAGAATTAAAAATCGCTTCCCTCCACCCTGTGGTCTGAGGGGCAATTTGAACATTGCAAAGCTACTTTTAATAAAGTTGTAGGGAGATTGTTGAGCAACATTTAGAAGGTCGGGGACTTTCAAGAGAAGATGGGGGGGGGGGGGGCCTTTCCATGTTTTGAGAGCCATTTGAATGGAAATGGATTACATCATGCAAATGTATTAAGAAAGAAACCTGTCAAACATTAAGTTTATTAGGTAGGGTGTTAAGTGGCTTCTTATGGTCTACTCGGTGGGAAGAGCACAAAAAATGCCCTGCAAAGCTATTAAAAGAAGAGATTTTAATAGCAGGTGGGCAAAGGAAAATAGACTTGGCAGCCATAATCCTTAAATATGTCAGTCCTCACATCGGTGGCTTGATTTTGGCTTAGGATACAGCTGATCACAGCCATCATAGCTGACAAAAGATGCTTTAGTACTGTGTCATTCAGGATATTATGGCTTCAATAAACCTTGCTTAAAACAAAACGAACCATGGTTCAGGGTTATGTATGACCCTAGTTATATTCCCCAAAACAGAAAAGTAATAAATGCAAATACTATAGCACACAGGCCAACTGGGGCTGTTTTATATTGGGGAAATGACAGCACTAAAACTAATCAACATCCTCTACCAACCAAAAAAAGCTAAAAAAAATAAGAATATTAAAAATAAAATAAATAAAATAAAATACAAGGATTTCAGGAAAGGGTTTATGGGGAAAAAAACTCAGCTAGAAAGCATGAAGGAATGATGGGTAATTCATTATGAAAAGTTTCCTCCACTGTCCCAGAGAGTGTGATTCGAGAACTTTGTAAAAATCATTTACTATTACAGGAAGCAAAACCAGCCAGTCACAAAACTGCATTTCTTCCTTCCTGCCCTTTTAATTCAAACTTTCAATCATTTTAATACAAATCAATCCAATCCTTTTCAGTGCGTCACCTTCCAATTCCTTCCGTTGTCTCTCTTTGGACTAACTTTGACCAGATTCAGTTGAAATCACAGTCTAATTTCTAATTCTGGAAGTGTCCCCCCCCCCACCTCCCCCAGGTAAAGTCAGTATCTCAAAATATTCCCAAGAACACTAAAGCACTCGATTTTAAACACTCAGTTTTTAAAAAGTTAATTACAAAGGTAGAGTCTTAGTGGGATTTTATTCACATAGTATGTGCCTGTTGTTTTTATAGTTATGTGTTTCATGATTTTTTTTACTGTGGTTAGCTGCCCAGAGTCATGAATTTGAGATAGGCGGCCATAAAAATTGAATAAATAAAGAGTAGCCCAGGAAATAAATGCTCATAGTTTCCTCCTATTTATCTGAATGGATTCATGTAGGATAGATTTTCATCTCATGGCTCTTCTGCAGCCATTAGAACAACAGCTACTTTGGTTTATTTTATACATATATAAAAATAATAGAGGTCGCTGACTCGTGCACACACCGAAGGAAGACCTCTACAGATACCACCAAAACATCTGAAAAGTTCCCATTTTTTCCCTAGTATTCTAGAAAAATGCTAATTTTCCTGTTTGGGAAGGCAGGGAAAGAAATCAAAAGATGTTCAGCACTGTAATTTATTATTTAAACAACCCTTTCTCACACATCTACTTTTTTCTATATCTTTCATAATTAATCATCCTTCTTGGTTATTTCGACTGCCTTTTCACACTCAAGCGACCAGGCGCACTTTTAAAGCAGACTGCAAAGCAAGATGTAACGGTCAAGGCCCATTTGTGTTTTACACGTGGTTTGAAAAATGCCAGCCTTGGCAGCCCAGACAGGCCTGATGAAAAATAGAATTGCAACCAGAGTGGGAAGGAGCACGAAACCTTCTGGTCATAAGGAAAGGCCTTCTCTGAAACTATTTGCATGGGGGAAATTTTTCATTGCCTGGATGGGACATTCCCACCATGCAAATAGCAGCTTCAGAGGAGAGATCTTCCTTAGAAACAAGCCTGGGGAATAAAATGTATTTATTTATTTATTTAATTTGCATGCCGCCCATCTCCCCCAACGGGTGACTCTGGGAGTCTCAATAAAGAGCTAACACACACCCCTAACACACACACACACCCCTTCATTCCTGCTGCAAGTTTGACATTGAGCAGCTCACCTCCAGTCAATGCAGATCATCAGGCTATTAACACAAAGATGCATTTAATATCCTACAGAGTGGGACTTTGGGAGTTTGGACCCTGCAACCAGGGCTGTCAGACCAGCACTTGACAAGACAAATGGGGACTGAAGTCCAGCGAGAGGTGAAGGTTGGGTGAGAATCGACAGAGTTGGGCTGACAGGGTTTACTGTAAGCCCAAAAAGGTAGACTGGACTAAGAAACCAATATTATATATCTTGGAAGATACTTACTATTTATGTAGGATTAATCGTTAGATTGTATTTTTAATTAATATTTGTCTTTCCTGTAAACCGCCCAGAGTCATTCTCTAACAAGATGGGTGGAGACAAATTTGATATATAAATAAATAAATAAATAAATAAATAAAATATAGGGCCACTTTATTGCAGCAGCTCTAGTAGCAGAATCTTGCAGGGCTGAATGTGTTTCTCCTTCCCTCCCTTTATCTTCATGAGAACTAGGGAGGGGCTTGTCTGAGATGTTTTCTCAAGCTATTTTCTTGGCCCAGGCTGAAGCTCCTCTTATCAGACCACTGCCTTGGTAGTAGCTCTTCTCCTGTCCTTCAAAGCCATTCCCTATTTTATTTTATTTTTATTTATTTGGCAAATTTATATAGCCGCCCATCTCATAAAAAGTGACTCTGGGTGGCTTACAAGCAAAATAACAGTTAAAACCATATCACAATATAAAAAACATCAGAGATAAATAACAACAAAAATTAAAAATTAAAAAAAAACCAAAGGAATAAAAACACATAAAAACACAAAAGAACCCCAAGATAGCAGGAGGACAACTATCATTTAGCCTCATTCAACCACTTCGCAGGCTTGCCATGGGATCCCCAGGGTTGATGGAAGAACCACATTTTCAAAGCTTTCTGGAAGGCTAACAGAGGTGGGGCTAACCTCATCTCAGGGGGAATGATGTTCGGGGGGGGGGTAGAGCAGAAAAGGTGCGCCTCCTGAGTCCCACCAGATGGAACTCCTTAGCAGATGGGATCCGGAGTTTATCTCTTCTGCTATGCCTTCTACGTGCACTAAAGCATTGTATAGTTTCTTTAGTTTGGGCTTCATATATTATAGGAACATAGGCAGGGTTGTTCACATACCATGGTTTATAGATCAGTGTGCTGTGCAAACATAATGAACAATGGTTTATTCAATAAACCATGCTTCAACAAGCTATGTGCTGCATGAACCCAGCCAGCCTGTGACCCAGAGCAAATCTAGCCCTGGATTGTTCCTAGCAGTGAGATCTTATTCCCACCACCTATTGTTTTTCAAAAATTCCTAGCATGTTATCAGGGAGTCATTCCTCCTAGGACCCACAGCTTCCCAGTGGGACACAGAAGGGACTTTCATTCTGGACTCTCACAGCCCATTTTCATTTGTTGTAGTTCAGATCTAACTCCAAGGCATAGAATCTCTCTTTACTATGAAGCCAAAATTGTGGTGGAGCGCATCTTGATTGTTGCATGGCATGGAGAACCCCATCCCAACATTTCATTTGGGTGGCACATACAACACAGCCAAGAGTAGTCCAATTAACCAGCCACTCTAAAAGCCTTTTTGGCCTTCCCATCTGAAACACCTGAATAGTTCCGCTTACTACTTTTTCACCTTATATAATGCAAAATATTCTTGACAGGGTAGAGTTAAAGGTGGTAGTGACAGTTCTGCAAAGACCCTGCCAGCAAAGACGTACGGCACCTCATTGTTTCGAAAACGGTTGCTTTCCTGAATGTCAAAAGCATTTAACAACCATCCTCTCATTGGTTTTTAATTACAAGGCAATCATTACAGCTACATGATTCTAAAATGCTTGGAAAGGGGAGTCTGCGGGGGGGGGGCTA